ATATGCAGGCGGTCGGACTCGATGATCTATTGAGGTCCCTTCCGACCCTAACATCTATGAATCTATGAATCTATGAACCTATTGAGCATGCTCAATAGCCATATGGAAGCATTAAACATCCACACTGCCCATAAAGTAGGATCACAAAATGTACGTAAGCACCCCAAGGCATATATAAGTTGAAAAAAAGGGATGCTAGGTCATAAATATAGACATGCAGAGTTTCATGCTTTTCCCTTTTTTTGTGGTTGTAACAATATAATACTAACTGAAATGCATAATCAGAAGGGGTTTAAAGAAATAGAACAAATATACAGGGATCATTTAAGTACAAAAGTATGTGGCCCGTCTAGTCTTCTAGTATCATTTCTTAACTGCAGACACACTGTATCATAAGCAGGGATCCAGATTTTCTGTTTGCCATGGAAAAATGCAGATTTTCTCTTTTAAAGGAGAAATTCAGATTTTCTACTCTAAAGGAAAAAAAAACTGGCAAACCATGGGTTTCCCCCTGCAGGCTGGCAGAATTCCAGCCTGCAAGGGACTTCTTGGGGCTGGGGGGGGCAGGACGCAGGGGCAGGGAGTGCCACATGCACATGCACACACACATATGCATGTGGCACCAGGCAGTGTGGTGGAGAGTAGCTCCTGCAGGTCCCTCCAGGTAAGTCTATGGGGGAGGAGCATAAGCAACACAGTGGGGAGGGTGGGGGAGCACAGGTGATGAAGTTTGGGCTGCTAAGCTGAGGTGACCCCTACCTGCCAGCAGCAGCAGGGGCACCACTCTGCACCACAATGCCTCACCTTGGCGGCCATGGCAGCGTGGTGCTCTCTTCCATGCTGGGTCCTGCCAACTGGGCTGTGGAAGTGGCTCCTGCCTGAGGCTGGTTCAGCCCGGTTACAGTCCCACACCCCAGGCACGGAAATCTGAGGGGGCACATCCCTGTGCTCCTTTATCCCGTCCCCCACATATCACCTGTGCCCTCCCCACCCCCATGCATCGCCTATGCCCACATCCCCCTTCCCCACACACCCACCCCCTTCCTCACATGCTGGGGGGCTGGGGCCTGAGGGCAGGGGACAGCAGGTTGAGCGGGGCACCAGCAGGGCTGAGGGGACGGTGGGTCATGAGTGAGGGGCACCAGCAAGGCCAGGGGGATATAGGGCAGGAGTGAGGGGCACTGGCCGGGCCATGGGGCTGTGGGTTGGGAGCAAGGAGCAATGGCATGGGCAGGGGTAGGGCACCAGCATATCAGGGCTTCTCAGCACCACAAAGCAGCAGGAGGGACAGCTGCAGCTGGACCCATGCCCTGGTGAGTGAAGGCGGCAGGGTGTATTATGATTTTCCATGATAAAAAAACAATATCAAATGCTAAAATATATAGGTATATAGAATTTATTTTATCATAATAATTTGAGGCACTGGTAGACTTCCAAATTGCTTTAAAATTGTAAATATGTCAATAAAACATTTTGTTCAACTGATACCTATATATATAGTGGCATTTCATTTTAATCATGGAAAAATGCAGATGGAGGTGGGGATTAATAACAGAATTTGGGATTTTAAAACAGAAAACCAGGATCCCTGGTCATAAGTAACATGGAATTAGCTGGAGAAAGAAACAGCAAAATCAGTAATAGAAGCCAGAGGCGTAGCTAAGCAGCTCTGCCCTGGGGCAGCTGGGCTGCATGAGGCAGTGCAGGCTGCCACCATGCCAATGACAGCAGTGTGATCAGCTGTCACTGTAGGAACAGCTGTTTTTGTGCCCCTCCAACAAAGGTGGCATCCAGGGCTGTTGCCCTGGTCAGCCCCCTTCAGTTACACTACTGATATAAGCTATAAGTGATTAATGAAGAAGAACTCTTATGTATTCCCAAGATTAAAAGGAAATCTCAGTGATTTCAGAGTTTTCATAAAAGGAACTTTCATAATTTGTTAGTTTAATAAATACGTTTTCCTGGAGCCACCTCACCCATCATTTAAAAAGATAATCAAGAGAAGAAGATGAGATCCTGGATGACAGACTTAGTTGTAAAGGCAAGAAAGAAAATCTTGAAACCTTCTAATCAACTACTGACTGTGTCAAAGTAGCAAAATAAATGACAAGGGGTAGGCTCATTTTGGCTGTTGGTGTCTCTGATCCTATACCAATGAAGCCAAAAGGACTTTTACTATTGACTTCAGTGAGAGCAGGATTAAGTTTTGTGTGTGATCTATCAGTTTGTGCATCACATTTGGGTTCTGATTATAGTTGTCTGTCCTGCTTTTTTTCTCCATCTGGACTCCCATTTACTTCACAATCCTTGATATTTAGTAATCCGAAGTAAAAGTTTATGTAGCCTCTGAGTTCTCTTTTTCAGTGTCCTCAGCAAGCTTCATTCTCCATTCATCTTCATAAAATCATCCTGGTTCAGATGTTTCACATCAGTCTTGAAGCAAACAGTATTAGTCATCCCAATCTTGCATTTGCCTCCCTATGTCTTTCCATTTCCAGTTCCTCCTTCATTGTTGTGGTTTCCATCAGCCTTTCATCCATTACTGACGTCTCTTGCAGCTGGTTGCAGCTTCTGGCTGCATTGACTGACTCAGAATCTTTACCTGTCATTCATGGATATATACTTTCCCCTCCAACAAAAATACTAATTTTAAATTTATACCACAATGAAGGATCCTTTATACAAGGATTTCAAAAGACCAGGAAGAATAAAGGAATTATTGCTACATCAAAGATGCCCCAACAATCTGTGTAGCCTCAGGACTAACTGATCACAATTAAATGCTCATGTTTCTTCAAAAACATGTTAGAGCACAGACAGTGCCTCTGCATAATTAACTTCCTTTGTTCTGTTGTATCCTATTGTTATTTACTCACCAATCTGTTTTCAGCCATCATCATCATTATTATTAAATAGCAAATTGCCCGTCAAGAATGATGGGGGGATGGGGATGGGGGGGAAGCTTGCTAACCCTAACCCTACCCCGCCCCCCATGCCACCACTGCTGCTGCCGCTGCCTCCCAGGAGTGGGGATGGGGGGTGGGGGAAGCTTGCCCCGCCATTCCCTCCGTCCCCCTCCACCAGCACCCCGTGCCACTGCCACCTCCAAGAAGCAGGCCTGGGCGGGGGTGGGGTGGGGTTAGGGTCAGGGTTTTCCCTGTCCCGCAACTCTGTCCCCTCCAACCCCACCGTCATAGGCAGCGCTCTGCCACATTGCCGCCTCCTGTCTGTAATGCTCTTGGAGCACTCTGATTGGTTGTTTCAGTAACCACTCAGAGTGCTCCAAAAGTGTTACAGACAGACAGACTAAGCCCTTTTTTATATTGAATTTTATTATTAATGGAAGACCTTATGAACCCCAACGATAGATCAGAGCCTCACTGTGCTAGGCACTTTGCAAACATATCCTTTGAGATTATTAGATATGTTACGTCCATGTTTTTACAGATGCAGTTCAATTGTGACTGCAAATCTTAATATTAATAATCTAACAGTGTGTGCAAACCTGGGAGCTGGAGGTCAAATATTCAGATTGCGATTTCTTTTGTGAGCATAAAAATCAAGCAGGCAACTACAACCAAAGGAAACTAGGCTCCCAGCTCTACTGAAAATTTACTCCTTTCTATGCCATATGTCTTCCTAGTTTGGATTTCATAGCTAAGTTTCTTCTGTGCTTTAATGTTACCTTCTATTTTCTATTTTAACACTGAAGTAATGTGGAACTATTTATATTGCCAGAAATATGTTTACACACATATCTTAACCCACCGTAAGACTTATAAAGTAGGTATCTCACCTGTAACTTGAGTAGGTGCAATTACTTGACTTGCACTTGATGTAGAGACTTCTGGAGCAACTTCAACAGGCAGGGGCGGGGAGGTTCTCTCAACCACAACTGCTTAACATGGAACATAAAACAATCATAGTAAGGCAAGTTTCACCAGCTTCACGTGCAATATTGAACTAGCCTGACCATTAAGAAGCTTGTGGATTGTGGCTCTGCCCTGGCTCCTTGCAGCAGTGACAGCACAGTCAGGAGTCAGGGCAGATCTGTGATCCACTGCCTGGCATGCCCCTGCCTGAAGCATGGAGGCTGCAGATCACGGCTCTGGACCACTCTGTCACCGCTGCAAGATTCCTGCCCAGCTCTGGAGCAGCTCCATGTCCTGCCAGCAGGGGCAGTGCTACAGAGGGACTTGGCGGGGGGGAGGCTATAGCCACTCCAAAATTCCCTTTAGCCACACCTCCCAGCAGTGCTGCCACTGCTGCCCGCTCCACACAGGCAGCGACAGCTGAGCCTGCTCTGCTCCCAGCCACAGCACAGCCTCCCCTCATTCCCCCCACCAGGAAGAAGCTGGTGTCACTGCTGACTGCCAGTGCTGCTGGGGGCCGGTCTTAAAAAGAGCTATAAAAAGAGCCAGCAGCTACAAAGATAGTGCTTGATAATGTGCAACAACTTTATAGCTGATTTCTATCCAGCTTTCATTTGAACATGTGGCAGGGCCCTGGCAGTTGCAGGAGTGGATGCTTTAAAGGAAGAGCACATGAACACAGTATATGTAATTTATCCCTTGTCCATTACCTTTCATGGCATCCACCATTTTTTGTTTAGAAATGCCAGAGGCTACACTCCTGATCCTTCTGTTTAATAGCTATTAATGTATCTATCACCCATGCATTTGTCCAGTCCTTTTTTGAATTTGAGTATCAGAGAATCACAGAAGAGTGATATATATACCATATAAATCCATTGTCTAACATCTTAGCAAAACTACACAGTCCACCCTGACACAACACAAGATACAACACTCTAACCTGCCATACATAAAGCAGAGGGACCATAGCAGCCTATATTCTGCTTCTGTAAAGGTTGTTAACATAGGCTCAAAAAAGCCTGGACGAGGACCATGCCCCCTCCTACAGAAGGCAGTAAAAATCCTAATTTGATGATGGGATAAAATTCCTTCCTGACCCTAAATATGCCAACTGGTCTGACCCTGTGTGGAGGGGCAAGATCCTCTAGCCAGGAACTTCTGGGTTAAAGTGCCAGTAGGAGCACTGGAAAACCTTAGTAAAAATTCCCAACCTTGGCTGCAGCCAACACATGATGCCTCTGAGGAAGGCTTGAGAACCCCCCTGACACATGTAGCCATAGAGAAGTGGAGAGAATTCCATCCCAGCCCCCTGAGGCAATCAGCAAAACCTAAAAGCATGGGAAATACCCACAGTAGAAAATAGGCATAGCTATGCCTAGATCATCCCTGACCAATGGTTGCTCAACCTGTTTTTGAACACCTCCAGTGATGGAGAGTCCACAACTTCTGTAGGTAGTCTACTCCACTGCCTTACTATTTTAACAGTGAAAACATTTTTCCTGATATCCAATCTAAAACTACTTTGCTGCAACTTTGAGCCATTGGTCTGTGTCCTACTCTCTGCAGCAAGAGAGAAAAGGTGTTCTCCCTCTTCTTTATGCAGCCCTTCAAGTATTTGAAGACTGCTATCATGTCCTTCTTAAGCTCCTCTTCTACAAGCGGCACATGCCTAGCTCCCTCAGCTTCTCCTTGTATGACTTGCTTTCTAAGCTCTTTATCATTTTTATTGCCCGCCTTAGGACCCTCTCTAACTTCTCCACATGCTTTTTAAAATGTGGGGCCCAAACTGCACACAGTATTCTAAATGAGCCCTAATTAGTGCCGAGTACAGAGGCACTATCACCTTCCATGTCTTGCACTTAATGCTTCTATTGATGTACATATTGACTATACTATCTGCTTCTACAACCTATACTACTGGCCTTTACAACCTCCTGTGGTAATAAGTTCAAACCTCAAATTAACTATGCCCTGCATAAAAAAGTACTCATTCTTGTTATTTTTAAACTGTCTCCTGCTAACTCTAGTAGGTGTCCCCTAGTTCTAGGATGGGGTGAATAACAGTTCCCTATTTGCTTTGTTCACACCCTTCAGCTAAGTACAGACATTCAAGAAAATTAAAATGGGTTCAAAATGTCCACCTGATTTAAACTGAGTTCGTCCCAGTGCTGACCTTATATTTACAGACCCAGTCTCAGTGACCAGAAATCAATGCAAACCTGTAACTGTACAGAAGTTACATGCATACAAACTGGTCTAAATAACTGCAAAACCTGTTTTAACATAAATTTGGAACAATGTAGTAAAGAACTTACTTGATTTAGGTCAAACCAGTGCAAGGAACTGCTGTACACTTTTTCTGTGCAGTCCTGGGGCTGGGAAAACACAGCTGCCAGCCCCAGGGCTGTGCTTTTCACTCCCCATTCCGCACTGGGCTATTTTTTGCACCCTGCCCCCTGTCCCCTTCACCCCCAGACCAGCCAGCCACCCTAACCCAATCCTGGAAGCCACTCTGGGTACAACTGCGTTTATCAGCATTCACTGCTTCTGGAGCCAAGCAAATAAGTCCTGGTGGGGGGAGGGGAGGGAGGGATGAGGGTACAGATTCACTGGAGGGTCAGGAGGTTAGAAATAGCTCCTGGCCCCACAAGCTGCTCCGCAGACTCCACAAGCCTCCCTGATCCCTCCAGACTGTCCTGGACCCCAGCAACACTCTGCAGGTCACACCTGCCCCCCACTCGTCAGGGTTTGTGCCTGCCCACCCCCGACCCTTGCACCTGATCCTCCACCCCACCCCTGGGTTGCACCCACACCCCCATCCCCAGTGGACCTCCCACCTCCCCCATCCTGACTTACCCGATATCAAGCAGACATTTTGAACCAATTTAATCGCCCCCAAATGTCTGTACTTAGCTTTCATTATTTTATAGTCCTCTATCATTTCCCCCTCAGCTTTCTCCTTTCCAAACTAAAGAGTCCTAGCCTTTTTATTCTCTCCTGGTATGGCAGCTGCTCCATAATCCTGGCCATCTTGGTTGCCCTTCTCTGTACATTCTCTAATTTTACTATGTTATTTTTGAGATGTGAAGAACCACATACAGGGTTCAAGTGTGAGCTCACCATGGATTTGTATAACAGCATGATGATATTTTCCATTTTGTTTTCAGTTCTCTTTTTAATGAAGACAACATTTTATTAGCTTGAAGGTCACCACTGCATATTGAGCTAATTTTTCAGAGAATCATCTACACAACTCCAAGGTCTCTTTCCTGAGTCATAACAGCTAGTCCAGAACCTAGCATTGTATTTGTACAGTTGATCTTATTTTCCCCCACCTTGAATGCAACAACTTTGAAGTCCAACTGTCATATTTTTGCTCACTCACTTAACTTTGTGAGATCTCTCTGCAGCTCCTCTCTTTCAATTTGGGATTTGACTATCCATACTGAGTTGTCATTCTCACACTGAAGGTTCCTCAACCTTTCATGACAATCTATAATATCTGTCCTTGTCTCCTAATAATTCTTCCAACATTTGCTCCACCAAAGAAATTAACCTCTACATCTGCCACTCCTGCTTCTGTGTCTTTCCCCTTTCTATCTCCAATGCATGGAGAAACCTGCCTGTCAAATCACTACCACTTCCTAGTTAATCTTTCTCTGAAAAGCCTGTTGCTAACAAGTAGGATGCCAGTTTACCAGAGAACAACAGTAACTTGAATAAAACTACTAGGGTGCATACATTCAATTAGTGAGGCATGGCATGGTTCTATTGTTTTTCAGCTCTGGCAGACATTATATTTATTGTGCATTATGTATGGTTATCAAAAGATACACTGTAACGTGCCAGCTATTAAACCAGTTTATCCCAGAAGAGCAGATGAGCTACAAAGAAGTCACTCGTTGAAATAGCATCTTTTTCATGGCATGGAAGTATCCTGTGATAATTTTAATGTATGGCCAGTTGGCAGGTGTGATACTTGTATATACCATACAACAAATGTAACATCTGCTGGGGGCCTACATTTAGTTTCTTACTTTCATGTCTGGTACCCAATCTAAAATTAGTGTATAATTTCTTTGGGTTACAGAAAATATCTTCCTACTGTAAAGTACCATTGACATTGTGAAGTTTACCTACTGGGTTTTTTTCTACTCCTCTGGTAATTTGTTTATTTATAGAACTTCACTTTTAACTGAACAATTTTTCATTAATGAAATGCTGAGGTTTACATCCATGTCTCCCATGCATCTCTTGTGGATTTCTATGGGAGTTCTGTACACAGAGCAAGTACATATCAGGGTTCATGTGGACATAACCTAAAAAACTATATGCAAGTAGCTCCACTGATTTTAATTGGGCCTGCCTGTATAAGAAGCCCTTACAGTTGTAAGGCCTTGCAGGATGAGGTCTTTAATGCATGAATCCAGAGTTTCAAAAATGCATATAGATTCTGCAGCTGAAAGGAACATGCATCATAGTTTACCATTTCAATCTTTGATTCTCCAGTTTTATCATTTACTTGAGAGGATGAGTCAAGAGTTACCTGGAAACTGTGGCTGCAGGTTAATTGTTGAAATTCCAGGAGAAAGCTGAGGCTGACCAGGCTCTAGTATAGTTTTTTCTTGATCATCAAGTGAAGCTAATTCCTGAAGAAAAATTGATTACAAAAATAATAATTTGAAGATGTGCTTTTAATTCAGTTCATTGGAAAGTAGTGGCTAGGAAAAATGTGACAGTTCTCCCATATAAATTATTGGATAGTAAAACACTGAGCATACCTAATCAATATATTATATTATGGTTGCATGTAATTTTTAAACAATAGCTTGCTATTTAAAATTGCCATTGTCTGAAGTAGTCACTTAATTAGATTCACGGTCCATGTCTGTACTATTTATAAATCGTTCACTCTTGAACAGTTCAAAATGTACTTAATTTAAGTTTTTCATGTAACTTTATATTTTATATATAGACCTATACAAGAGTGAATCTGGGGAGATGGGGCACAGTGGTGCAGGTGCGCCTGTCTTGATTCCTGGTTCATATAAAGTTTAAAACCAACTGCCTGGCAATGGCAGCAGCATTTCTAACCAGGCAGCAATGAGTCACTTGACTTAAGAGCTCAGTATAATCTACCTGATTCCTTCTAAACTCTTAATTCCACAGGTGTTAATGACCCTTTCTCCTTTTTAATGCTCTTGATGTTATAACTAATCAAGCTATCCTTTCTTCAGCAATTCTGCTGTCAGTTAGCTGCTCCAGGTAGGGTTGCCAACCCTCCTGGATTGGCTGGGAATCGGCATTGATCTCCCGGTGACTACTGAAAGCAATCTGGGAGATTTTAATAGGATATTTAAAAAAAGAAAATCTCCCGGAACAGCTTCAGTCAGAGTTGGCAACCCTAGCTCCTGGTAATGTAGCTGCTATTTAACAGCATTGTGGACTGTTTTTAACTCTAGCTAAACACATTAACTCAAGTGTGGAAATAACTTTTAGTGAAAAATTAGATGCACTGCCAACAAGTTCAAGAAGCTAGATTTTGTTTTATGAGTCTGGAAAAGAGATGTACAGTACAAGCTGTGTTAACTGCCATTTTAGTAACCAGCACACTCTACTAACTGGAATTTCCAGCTGGCCGGCCGGATGTGGGAGGGGGCGGGAAAGCTCGCATGTAGTGGCGGGGGGGGGGAAGGAAAAGCCCAGTGGTGGGCGCGCCCCCTGCCACTCCTACCCCCCACTCCACATCTGACTGAAAACCCCTGCCTCAGGTAGCCAGCATTTTTAGATTATCGGCACCCCACATTCCCCACTCATGCTGGATAACAGAGCTTTTACTGTACATTTAACTCTAATGACTCATGAAATAACCATTTTTAAAACTATTTTTGCCTAGCAAATTGTGTTTTATACATAATAGCAAATCAATGTATATTCCAATAACGTTATACTTGTTTTTGCTTTGATTTTAACTGGAATAATATAGCCATAGGCCCCTGGCATATTACTAAATAATCTAATTTCTTTTTAACCAGAGAAAAATGTGTTGCTTTATATGGGATGATGCACAACACCATCTGCACCTGCCTTTTCAAAATCCTAGATCGGCCCATGGATCTATATTACCCATGCAGAACACACACATGTATCTGTAGATCTCTGACCATTATGATTAATTCTCTTATCCTTTGTCTTGCACCTTTTATTTTCATATGATTATGAAGCCTGCACACCTATAGAGAAGTAAAATGAAGCACAGCTATTGCTATTCCTACCAAATCAAAGCAGAAAGTTTTAGAAGATTGCTTAATGCAATACAGTACTCTATTTTAGAGCCTTGCTTTTCATAATCACACAGACCACTCAGTGGAGAAAATAACAGCATGCCTCAGCAAAAGCTACATAAACAAATACCAAACAAATCCTTGATTTGTATGACTTTTTAAATGTTTTCTGTTAAAAAAAACACAAAACATGTTGATGGTTTCTGTCACAAAGATGTGTAAAGTATTACAATTACATAACTTCATATGGAGGAAATTTGAGTCATAGGCCACTTCTACATGTGCGTGGACGTTTGTTTCCCGGGGTGCACCTTGTCCTTGGGGAATGCCTGTGCCACATGCCCTCTGCCATGCAGCAAGTTACCCTGAGTAGAGTAGGGGAGGCTGGGGCCAGCACTGGGCTGGCCCCAGTAGCCTTACTTGGGGTTCTGGGAGCCTCCTGGGGCTGCAGCAGTGGCAATCCTGCTGCATAGAGCTTGGTTGGCAGCTGCAGTGTGACTTTAGCCAGCCAGGCTCTGGTTTTGAGTGGTTCATGCTGCCCCCATGTATGCCACTTTTTTCTGCAGGTTTTTTTGCTCCCTGGATATCCTTGCAGCACAGAAAACAACTGAATGTGTGGTATATGGTGCTGCAGACATGTCTGCGGTGATATCACACGTCTGCACTCATCTGGACACGGCCATAGTGTTTAAGCAGGCAGGAAACATTAGATCATTTGGTTTTGTCTCCTGATTACCAGAGGCCATTAAGTTTCACACTGTACTGAGCACAATAATTTGAGTTTAACTAGCAGATAACTTGTGTGTTGGCTCAGGTACACTTTTCAGTTTTGATATGGATCTCAAAAAAAGGAGACTTCATTCCTTCCCTTTAGTTTGATCCAATGGTTAATCAGCCTCACTCTTTAAAATATGTGCCTTATTAATCATTTGAATTTTACTGCAATACATTTTCAGCCACACATTTTCATAACCACATGGAGCTTAGTGCAGTTGTTTGGTGTTATAGGCCATGTGTAGATGAAATAAGGGACATGTGTGCACGACACTTTAAAGCGGGTTAAATGCTTTTGCAATAGCTTTAATGATGTTGATGTTTGCAAGTGTCAGTGGCATATTGCACAGTAATTCCAGCCGCTGTAGCAAATTCAGCAGCGTAATGCACCTTGAATGACTTGGGGTGCAGCAAACTAAAACACCTCCGAGGAGTTTTAGTTTGTTGCCCTACAGCCGCAGAGTGAAGCACTGGGCTTCGTGCAGCTCAGGGGCTCTGCAGGAAGCTCATGCAGGCAGCCTGACAGCAGCCCGGGAAGGCAGGCTCCGCCCAAGAAAAAAAAAAAAAAGCAGTGAGCCTGATCTTTATTTTCCCCGCCCTGAAGCCTGCCTGCCTGCCTGAGCTGCACAGGGGTCCAGTGTTTCCCTCTGCGGCTGCAGTGTCCCCTGGGACCACCCGAGCCGGGTGCCGCCTGGAGGGGAGACAGCGCTGCCATGGAGGGAAGCACCTGCACCAACCCCTGCAGCTCAGGGACCACTCTGCCCACCAGCAGCCCCTCCCTGCCATCGGAGAGGCAGGTGAGTGCATGGGTATGTGCACGACACAGGCATTTACTTGGCCCTAAACTGAAGTGGTGTTTTCAAAAACCCACTGCTTCAATTTAGGGCCCCCACTTCATCTACACATGCCCTTAGTGTATTTTGCAAACTATCCATATGGGCCCCAATTGAGGGAAGCATACCTCATCCAGATAGCACCTTAATTACATACTTAGTTTTAATTCTGTGTTTACAGCCCATTGAAGTCAATGGAGCACGAGCATATGCCTACATTTAACCACAGGTTTTGCTGAACAGTGATGGAGTATTGAACCAACACCCACGCTTTATGGCAATAACACTGAATTGGAAGCCAAAGCTTTAATGTTTATGATCCGGGATCTGGGTTTTCCATTTCCCATGGAAAAACAGAGTAAAACACAGATTTTCTCCTTACCAGACTAAAATGTGGATTTCTCATTTTAGCAGAGAAACCTGCAGATTTTGCAGTGTTGCAGCCTGCAGGGGGCTGGGAGGGAGTGGGAGGAGGGCAGTCAGGCAGTGGGCACCATGTGCATGTATATACACATGGCCCCAAGCAGCTTGGAGAGCAGCTCCTGCAGATAAGTGTGTGTGTGGGGGTGGAGGGGCAGGGGGACTGAGGCCGCCACAGGGAGGGAGGGACAGTGTTGGGCAGGGCTGGGGCTAGGGCTGCTGCCTTGCCAGGCAGTGTGACGGGGTTGGGGCCCGGGGCTGCAATACATGGCCACAGGGCCCTGCCAGGGAGTGGGACAGGCTGTGGGTGTCCAGAGGCAGGGGGGTGGATCCCCACTACTGCACACAATCCTGGGGGGGGAGGGAGAGACCTGCATCTCCCAGATCTGTGCACGGGACAGAGGCGGGGATGGGCTGCGCACTGTGGGCTCGAGCTCCCACCCTGCTGCCCTCCCCCAGGGCCTTCGCAGCCTGACAGGTGTGACCCGGTGCTACAGGGCAGAGCGCAGCCACACAGGAAAGCTGGTTGCAGCTGCAACCTCCGTGTTTCCCTGGTGATGCATCCCCTACATGCGTGGGGGCAGCATGGGCAGCAGTGCAGGGTTGTGGCTCTCACTGCAGCCCCACGCAAAGGGGAGGCATTGCCAGGGAAGCGCAGAGCTCGCAGCTGCAAGCAGGTTTTCTGTGTGGCCCAGAACCCAGGTCACACCCACTGGACTGTGGAGGCCCCAGGGGAGAGCAGCAGGGCGGGAGCCCAGGCCTGCAGGATGTATCCGCCTCCACCCCTGCCCCATGCACAGATCTGGGGGGTGCAAATCCCCCCGCCCTCCAGGAGTGGGTGCTGCCCCCCCCCCCAAACCCACAGCAGGCAGCAGGGGCAGAGCCAGGCTCCATGCTCTGCTCTGTTGCAGCAGTTGCTGCCTTCTGTCAGGGGCAGGGAGCTGCAGACCCAGGTCTTGGCCCCATAGCCCTAGCAGCTGAGGGCCCCTCTGGCAGGTCTGGGGGGAGGCAGGGGGTGTGGGTTGGGGTGAGGAGCACTAGCAGGGCTGGTGGGCTTGTGGAGGGGGAGTGAGGGGCACCAGCAGGGTTAGGGCGACTGTGGTGGGGCTTTAATTTTAATCACAGATTTTGGGGTTTTATCAGAGAATTTGCAATTTTTTTATCTGGGAAAACCAGGATCCCTGTTTATAATTCCATTTTTCATTGTCATTCATAAATATCTTTTTCTTAGAAAATCAACTAGTATGCAAGTACACTTCCCAGTATGTGTATTAATAAATGATTTTGCACGGTCATCCCTTCCAACTGTAACTACCATTTTCCCATCTGCGCACTTCTTGCAATTATGTGTAAATCCCACGGGTTTTGACAACTGTGCTGTACTGTATTTATTTCACAAAGGTATATAATATACAGTTCATGTTTTACCTGCTCAGGGGCTGCAGTTGCCACTACAATCAGAAAAAAAAGAAAAGAAAAGGAATTAATTAGTTTACATAGAAATAATATGTCAAAACATGTCACTTTAATGCATACTGTTACTTTTTATGAATTCCAGGCCTTAAAACCAAAGACCTATACAGTTGTTAGCAGAATTAAACCCATGTTTTACAATTCTGAGTCTGAATCTGATGTCCCAATGGTATTAATAAGAAGCATCTTTGCTGCAATCAATGGCTTTACCCTGAAACCAGAATTTGGCACACTGTACCAAGCAATCCTGTCGCCTGCCTCTTTATATCCCTTGCAATTTTTAGCTCCAGAGCAGGTTCTTTTATTATTTTCCTAAAAGCTGTTAGAGCTACTAATAAACTCATGTATGTCTCCAAATTAAACAATTCTAGTTTTGCGGGTTTTGTTTTGAAGATGTTGCAAACTTTTAAAAAAATCTAGTCTTCTGAATTAGAGAACAAGGGAGGATAAAAGACTCACATTAAATATAGTAATAAACATGTGCAACTTCAGAATTTGGCCCAAGGAATCCCTGGGAATAAACAATACATACCAAATGCCAAAAGGTCCAAAATTGGCTGGTATAATCAGTATAGCTTCACCACTGTCAGTAGAGCTACAATGAATTACACCAGCTGTTAATCTGGCTGAGTAACTCATATGATAGGGGTGAATCTTCCTTCCTCCCTCTCTCCCTCCCTTCCGCCATCCCTCCCTTCCTTCCTTAATATAATATTGTTCCGTTCTGCTATGATAATGAATCAGACTGAATACCCCATATATCAAAATTGCCGTTTGAAATTAAAATATTATGGACTCAAAAACATCAGAACACTCCTCAGAATCATATTTTTGCCAGCCTGTATTCTGTTCACCAGTAGTGTGTTGGCAATGCATTCATTTTTGCACATGCTGCAGGCTTTCTGTATTTCTTTGCTTCTGCGTTCATATTAAGCATGTTAAGAGTAAGGTGCTTGTAGCCGCTAATGATTCTTAGAAGAATTTGCAGAAACCCATGCAAAGGCGAAGAAAAATTTACAGAAATTAACATTCAGAAAGGCCTTAGTGTAAGAAATAAAACAGTGAAGAGCCTTGTCATATTCCAGAGATGCCTAATAACTTTATAGTGCCAATGGCAGGTGGCTGTAGTCTAACTGCAGGGTGATGGTATAGTGATTCTTATAGTAGAACAAAAGTTTTCTGTTTCAATTATTCACAAAAACAAGTCCAAACTACTTTTTTTTCTCTCTGTGTAGATATTTTAGTGTCTGAAAGGAGCTTTTCAACAGCAAAACCTAAAAAGCCAACATCCTATGACATAATGCATCCAGTTACATGGAATGGTACATTATTAAGAAACAGCAATATAAAAATAGAATAGGCACTATACACAAACTATAGAAAAAGGTATCTAAAAAGAAACACATGCACAAAAATATAGAGAAACTAAGCTACAGTTCCAAGGTCCTTTTCCATTCTCACCTTCTTGCACAGCCACCTCAGGCTCACTTTTCTGTGAGAAGCTCAGTGCCTCCACTGGCTCTTCCTTTGCTGGGAGAGGTGGAGGAGAAGTACCTTTAGCAACAGGCTGAGTAATCTGGGTCTTGCCAATGACAGGTGGCTGTACTCTAACTGCAGGGTGATGATATAGCTTGTTTCTGTGAGAGCCAGAAACCGTATAACCCATTCCACCAGGGCAGATTTCCTTAAAAGCAGCTAGATGTGGGATGGGAAAATATTCCTTTTAGGTGTCTAAAAGTGCAATCGTTTGACACAGTGGAAAATAAACAAACACTGCTAACAAATCAAACCTGCTACTATACGAACATGTTCATAACAAAGTATTTTATATTTAGAGAAAAACACGGACTGCATGCTAATATTACTGAACATCTCTGAAAAAATACTTTAGGACTTAATTCAGCCCTCTGTAAGAGGATTTGACTCTGGTTCCTTCAGCTATGTTAAATACACCACCACATCCATTTTTTTATTAATCTAATTTGAACAATATATTATTTCTGAGTGAGAATGGTAGGACTCTTCCCCACAAATTGCCATGGTTTACACTTCATAAATAACATATTTACTATTTCTATAATTGCCTACTTGCAGTTACTAGATAATAAAGCAGTTTATTACCGCTGTAGTAGAGATATCATGCTAAAAATCTAGGTTCATAAGGTTAATTCATGAAATCTTAATTAACACACAAAAAATAACAAAGATTGTTCATTTGGTATTTTTAACAGCATTACTTGAAAGTGTGCTAAGACAGGATTGATATATAATCAGATCATTCATCAGAGATAAAAGCAGTTTAAAGCTAGGGGCCCCTGTTCTGACCCTGGGTGACACCCTAGGTCCTGTGGTTTGGGCCAACAGCAAATGAAGAAATATGCCTCTGTGATCAGTCTCCTCAAATACAACTGATTCCTATGCTATACTTGAAAGCTCAGCAGATCAAAAGTAGTCCAGTGAAAGCCTCATTAATACCTTTGCTCCAAAAACAGCTATGTTTATATGGCAGAATAGAATATTATCTTAGTTTTGGGGTTTTTTTACATTTTGAAAAGCTGTTATTTCTGTAATATTTCAGAAGACAATATTTTGTCCCTGTTATTTCCGCTTGAATCAGGACAATGGGTTCATTTTAAATTGAAATGAAGCTGCTTACATTTGTACATTTAAACTAGAGACAATACTGTAAGATGACGCAGATACGATGTATCTGGAGACCTTCTGGGGAACTCTTACTTGTAGAAATAATTTGCTATTTATTTATTTTTTAAATGGGTCAATTCTGATGTTGTCATTTATTTTTTTTTTTAAAAACCTGTCATAGTTTTCTTTAATTCATTATTTAATATTATACTTGTGTTAACAAATTTAGATTAACATGGCTAACTGCCTCTCTTTACTTATGTTTATATGGTGGGCAATATGTATAAGAAGAAAAGTAAGGGTCTTGCCCCTCCATGTGAGTGACATATTTCATCATGGTTTCTCAAGAACCATGTGAAGAAGCTCAGCTAGTGAAAAGCATCATAGGTTCAAGGAGGTGAAGATTTGCCCTGCATCTTAAAAAACTTACAGGTGGGGCAGGGGGACATTCTCACTGGAATTTCAGCACATCATTAAACTGTTTGGAGTCAGTAACTATAAAACCTTGCTCAATTTTTCATTTGAACTTGACCCTCCCAGATCTTTTGTACAGGGTGCACATGATCAGAGGAGGGAGGGACGGTTTCATTTTGATTTAAGTATTTTTTTGGTAAATGCTAATCTCTATTATAATCAAGCTTTATTTGACTTAACAAGGATTTAATAGACATGACAGGCCCAAGCTTAAGAGCCAGTTGCTGAGTTTCTAGTCAGTTGCAGGTACAATTTTGTGGGGATGAATGTTATCATTTAAAAATCTAGTTAACTGCCTGAAGTTGTATCAGGTAGCTTAATATCTATATTGCCTCACCTATGGGTCTAATTACTTAGAGGCACAAAATTGGAGGTCAGGTTAAATTTAGCTTCTTCAAAAAGGAGGCTTCTATATGTGTTTCTTACTTCTAAAATGGTCACGTACAGAATTGCTATTTAATTCCCTATTAGAGCATTAAAACAAGTGCCTGAAATGACAGTATGAAAAACTGGTCAAAGAAATTCCACAAATGTTGTACCTTGTTTTTGCAGTGAGTACAGACAGAATTTTAGTGGTGCAAAAATGCACTGCTAAATCCACCTTCCATTAAAGTTGATGCTAACATTCTCATTGATTTCAATGGGCTTGGGGATAAAGCTGGTTGGGAATTTTCTTCTGAAATATTTTCTTGTTGTTGAAAAATGGCAACGCTTAAAATTTTCACAGGACAGTCAGAAAAGATGTCTTGAATCCAGAGTGGAATTTCTGGTCACAGTTGAGAAGGAAAGAGAAAGCAAGACATCCATCCATGCTATAATAGCTTGTGGGTAGCTTGTGGGTTAAAGCACTCATGTGGGATATAGAAAACCTCTGGCAGAATGAGAACCTAACTTAGCATTTTGTGGGGGGTAACTGGCACAGGAGAATGGCAGGCTCAGCTACCTCACTGCCCTGCTAATTAGACTGCTGCATGGCTTAGGAGGCAGCCCACATGAAACAGGTCTTACTTAAGAGCACTGCAGCCAGGCACAGGAAGTTTACTATGTAGACATGACCAATGCCTCAAAAGCTCCTATCTTTTTGTCTGTACCTTTTACAGAAAAGGCAGCAAGTGCACTTTGGTTTAATGTAAACATAACCACATGACAGTGACAGTGTATGCTAAATTCCTCTTTATGTAACAGAAATTAAACATTTACAATTGCACACTTTGGGGTGAGACTATTTGCTAAAGCCTATCACGTCATAAGGAAAATTCCATCCTCATTATGAAAGCATATTTAATCAGGACAACAACAGAAGATACATTTAACTGTTCTACTAACATTTACAAAACCGGCATGAGTCCATAAGACCAAAAAAGAAATTGTTGGATGTGGGAAAAGATGTGTAACATATACAGAGTGTGGGCATGTGTATGTGTTTTCTGGGCACCTCTTACCTGTTCCTGGAAGGGGACATTTCTCACAGTGTGGGCCCCAGGCCTTGCCAACACTGCAACAGCAGAGCTGCTTGCTGAGCTGAACAGAGAGAGGGTGCATGCACTGCTTTCCTGCACTGACAAACCGGTAACAGGGCCCTTTCTCTTCAGAGACCAAAGGATTATCAGCTGCAGCAAAAAGGGAAGGAGGATGCTAGAGTTTACATGAGAAACACCACAGGAGTTCCACGACCAGCTAAAGATTGATATCGCTGTTCGGCAACATTTTAAAAAAATGCCTATGCCTCTCAATACTCTGGACACAAGGAGAACAACTTATTTGGCATCAAAGCATCTGAATTCAAACTAGCACTACACAAAAGATAAAACTGTATTTTAGAATACAAGCTGATGTCCAAACCAGAAGCTGCCATGCTTCAGCAGCGTAGAATTAGAGACAGCTCTCTTTCCCATGCATGAGCGCTGTAGCATAAGCTTAAAGCAGGTGAACAGGTATACAAAACTTTGACAGGCTACAGATAGTCATTACACGGTCTTGTAAGTCTGAGTGTTGTATGTAAACAGGACTGCAAAAGGACTACTTTGAGCATTAAGGGGCTTTTTCTTAACTGGACATGACAATTATATCTACTAGCGAATTGCCCATCAAGAATGATGGAGGGGACGGGGGAGGACAATGGGCGGGGATGGGGAGGGGGAAGCTTGTTAACCCTAACCTTCCCCCCCCATGCCGCTGCTGCCTCCCAGGAGTGGGGGAAGCTTGTCCTGCCATCCCCTCTGCCAGCACCTCACACCACCACCACCTCCAAGGAGCAGGGCCGGGGTGGGGTGGGGCCTCCTGCTCTGTCCCCTCTGTCATGGTGGCACTCCACCATGCTGCCGCCTCCTGTCTGTAATGCTCTTGGAGCACTCTGATTGGTTGTTTCAGTAACCTATTAGAGTGCTCCAAGAGAGTTACAGAGAGACAGATGGAGTAAGCCCTTTATTATATTAGAATGTTTCACCTTGCCACATTTAATACATTTTTAATGACTGATGGTTGGGTATTTCTAGGGAACAAAGATATTTTTCAGTTAAAACAGCTAAGGAAATGGAACCATTTCAGATAACCTCAGTTTGTTTCATGGCCATACTCTTTTTTCCTCTTCTCTTCCTTGTCCCCAACTTTCATATGATGTTATAGTCCACAGATTTAAAAATCTTTTGGTGCAAGAAAATCAGTAATGTCTTAACAGATTTTTGATCACTACATATACAAACGGCCTAGTGTGGAGGTGCTGGGAGGCTGATATTTATTCAACCTTATTATTTCCACAAAAACTACCTTATAGTTTTGGGTAAGATTTAGTTAAATCAAAAAAAAAGAGCAAAGAATTTCAGGAATGTGGACATTGATGTGAAAGCATATATAACAAAGGATTATAATGTAATTATTTCTATTTTCTTTTTGAAAATGGAAAAGGATCTTCAAAACTATTAAAAACTTGTTCAGTAGTTGGTCATCAACAGCCAGCAACAGAAAACAGTGATTTAAGAACTCAGAGTTGATATGCAATACAATAGCCAGGGCTACACTGGACATTCTAAAGCCACAACTCAACTAGAAAAAGTGAAGGTATGGAGGGTGAGTCTTTTATTTGTAATATATGTATATTTTCCACTAGTTTTTTACATGAGAAAGTTACTTTCTTTAATGTTTTATTTTCTAAAAGATATTATGATAGGTTTATGGCATCAGAAATACGAATCATGTAAAACCTAATTAAGAGGGGAAATCATATGCTCTCAGGTGCTTACGACATTTTCATTTTGTTAATACATATTTAACTAACATGACAGGAAATTCTTGGAATCAAAATGTTTTTGTTAAAGATTCAGCACATTTAATTAGAAACAAACATTTAATCACGTAATTACTTCAGTTGGTATTCACTGAACAACACTAAAATGACAATGCTTATGCAGTCCCACACTGCCATGCGTCTTTATACAGATTTATCGTATGGAAATGACATATAACTTTAACTTTCAGTAGTCCAAATAACTTAGGTTTCCTCTGTATCCAAAGTACTAAGTTTTTACCCATGTCAACCGTAGAAGAACAGAAAGAATAAAACTCATGAAACATGGTCCCAGTAATAGAAATTAAATAAACAGATAGTTTTAAGGATAACTACTGTAATACTTTTGCATTGTTGCATTTCTATTAGCTTTATTTCACAAAGCCCAGCCCCCATTCCCCACCCCCCAGATGTTACACGTGCCATGGGATATATGAGAGTTTCCCACAGCAAATGATAACATGCCATTCAATGAATTTCTCCTGAGATAAAATGGCCAATCCACCACGAAAAAAACAGGTCTGCAACAAAACAGTTTCTGTTTAAACAGCAACTTATTTGTCAAGTTGAGAGAAATGTAATGTTTAGCCAGGTAGTAAGCATCTGCATTTCAGATTATGT